AATCCATTTAACTGGTATGCTACATCAAACAACAAAAAAGTATATGGTTAGAACCGTTAAAACGGGGATAACCAGTTACGAAATAATACGTTGCGTTTTACCGAGCACAGTTTTTTTGATAGATCAAGAAGCATGGATTTTCGCCAAATTTTGGGCAAAATTAAGATGTCTCGCTGGAAAACTATGTATGTTTTAAGCAAAATTAATTCCGTGAAATATCTCCGTACATCAACGCTGACAAATGAACACTGATACCATGCACACCCATCTTTCAAATCGATCCACAACGTTTTCATAGCGAGAAAGCATAAAATTCATTAAGTCTTAGCACGCTTTCGGATAGAGAGGATAATTGGATCATTGGCGTATTAATTTTATCTTACCGGCAAAAAAGCATAAGGACTAGGCTCAGCTAAGTGTTAAAAATTCTGACAAAACCCTTGTAATAAAAACGTGTGGCGGAACAAAACAAGTATAAATATTTATCTGCTTTTTTGTGTGAAGTAACCGTATACTGCACACTAGTGAAAAACAAGGCGACTGATATTTGTCTAGGCAATGCACTAGGTATCCTAATCAGGCCGTTGTGTTGGAACAAGCGGCTTTGATCAAGAAAATAGAAATCTGGCATTTCGATAATTACCGTTCCTATAGGGAAAATAAGCGCCTCACATGCTTAACCAAAGAGCTTGGCAACTGCTGCATTTCAAACATTACAGAAAAAATTCAACTAAGCAAAATGACGCGAAGATTTTAGCTAGGCACATTCCCCTTTAGTTGGCGTTTTCCGCAAAGTCCATGAAATTCAGGTTGCGATACACGGTAAATAGCTACCACCCATAATACCGTTACAAAATTAGGCTACACAACTTATTACGTGTGTCTACTTTTTATACTAGTAACACAGGTAATATGACGCAAAAGCTGAAAATATATCATAAGATGTATGCTTCGCCGAGACAGCACTTGCTCAGAAAATTCTGTCCTGTAGCAGCAAAGTATCCTCCGCTATTGATGTCATCAAGCGTAGTTTGAACCTGATTTAGTTTACTGACCCCATGCAAAAAGAAGCCACGCATTATTCCGATATGCAAGCGTTCTCCAATCAATACCTGCACAACAATGATGTTTGCTCGCTTGCCTGAGTAGGATCCTAATTTCGGCTCCACAAACTCTGGTTGAATTCCAAACGACACACGTGTATACTACATCGCCCTTGACAGATGATGTTGCTTATTTTCTGTTGTGTGTTTTAACTCCGCCACGAAAAGTTTCTTTACCCTCAGGAAGCCATGTTGCCCAGAATACTCATTTTTTGCTTGCTCGTTTCACCCCTCTCACAGCCGATACAATAATAAACTTTTATTTCTCTTTGAAACAGGCAGTCAAACGTAGTAAATTGGCTGTCGAGCAACCGGCTGTAAATTTTATCAAATCATTTGCGCAACAAGTCGGGCGAGTAACATATAAGTTCGTATTCACCCAGTGTGTTAAACAGCTTGTGCCCGTTTTCTACTAGACCTACGGATGACTTCTAATTAATCGTTATATTGTTGCACTGGTAGCTATCAGAGAGCTATTTTTAACATTATTCGTTCCTGATGAAGCTGTGTTATTCATTTTTGCTTTGTTCTTTCACATCACTCACGGCAATTTTATCGTTATTTGTTATATTGCACTTTTCGTTTACACTAAGCCTAGTGACCGGGTTCCATTATAAGGCTAATGGCTACTGCTCATGCAAGTGGGCCGATTTTCTGCTATTTTATGACACCATATTACCACAGTCTGATAATCCAAAAGCAGATGCTTGCACCTTTTATAGTACACGAATTTAGGGAGACGTTGCATGTTGTTGGGAATAGCTAGATTGTATGAGATGTGCGCAATCGGACACATCTGCCGTTGGTTTCATTGAAACACAGCAACTTTTAATCGTGTATAAGCAAAAGTGCACTGAATAATGGTAGAATCTTCTTCCTTCATCTCCAGCCTAACGTTTACTGACCCAAGGCAGCTAGAAATAACTCGGCTTTTATCACGATAAGTAAAACAGATCAAATTTGTTCGCAACAGCTGGTGAAAACAATGAACCATTTAAAGGCTGGCATTGGTAATAATTTTCAAATTTTTGTCTGGGGTTACGAACGGGATATGACTAGACTTTAATAAGCAAAAGCCGTGCAAACAAAGCGGACTTTTCGGCAAACCTTTTGAACAAATTGCGATATCATCAAAGGTAACTCCGAGGCCAGTCGTGGTTGAATTCTCATGTTGTATCAGGCAAACAGCCAATTCTTGGCTTTTAGGTTCGTGCTTGAAGTTCATTTGGTAGCCTGCTGTGGGCTTTCTGTTTTGTAAAATGAACGACGAATTTGTTGGGTAAGACTTAGTTGCACATGGAAATCCCTGAACGCACGACAGAGCAAAACTTGTTGTAAGGCCATGGAATATGAAACTCGTGCAGAAACGCGGTTATCTCCAACTGGAGGAGTACAGGAGAGGGGGAAAAGGTTCAAGAGTTGTTTTATTAGAGATCACCACAAACCCGTGTCGTGCTCAGTGATGTTAACGCTGTTAACGCTCCTTCACTGGCAAACGCTGGAAGTACTTGCACGGTCACATATGAACAGGACGCCGTGTCCGGTAAATTGTTTGCTGATAAGATCTCGGAGTAAGAAAACAAGGCTTTATTTGATGAACAATGACCGAGCACTACCATTGTACGACTAGCCCTAACGTTTTTTGAGTGGGCCTAACTCATCCTTGAGTACCAGCGCGCTTTGTGCAGTGGTTTAACCTCTGTTTCACTGTGAAAACAGCAGTGAACAAATATCTGGTATCAGCATAAGCCATTAGATTGGACTAGTCAAATTGCCCAATCGTAAGCTACAATAGCACCAATGATGTTTTTTTATATTTAACCTCTTCAACCTCAGTGACGACATCAAGGATCACGCAAGTATGTAAATATCGCTCTATATTAAGGGTACCACAATGCAGTTAGAGAATACATTGGTTCGTTAGCTCTTTATCTACTTGATGGACAAGCCAGGTTTGAACGCAGATGTCAAGTACACTGAGCAACCGCATCTCCTCCCTGCTTCCTGACTTCGAGAACACTGTACAGGCCGGAGCAGTTGCTGCAGCACTGGTCGCTGTTACCACGTGAACTTACCCACGGCTCACCTCATACGTAGCTCCCTGCGTTGTTCCGAAGTTCCAAGAGGCTAGAAGACAGCTCGAAAACGACCCTAAACTTTATCTATACCTTACATATATGCTGGTATATCGGTCTAGACGGCATCGTACATATGTCTCAAAAAATACCAGAGCACATACCAGAAAATGGAGTAACCAAGGACAATTTTTCAACTGTCTGTTAAAATATGTTTATAATGAAATAGAAATATAGGTTATATCTATGTTTTCTCAGTTGCCCAAATGCACACCAATTTAACTGCCAAAACCAGACAAACTGGTACCTTCGTCATTGAGGCAATTTATGGTGTCTATTGTAACCAAATTAACTAAATATAATATGCGCACCTTGGCCAAGAGTTGACAGCGTCAAGCTAGGATAGTTTATTTAGGCGCCATATGTGATGATTCTGATGCCTCACCTAGGAGGGGGACCTTATTTGTGTTACTGCACATTTCTTTATATCATGGCCTTTAGCAAGGCCACGTTAAAGGCTGTCTTGATCGCAAAAGCAATATTGATTTAAGGGTGTGAATAATTGCCACGAAAACAATACCTGACATTCAGCATCGCTTGAACTATGAAGCGCCAACCTAGTGACTGCAGAAAGTGTTGATACATATTTTGAAGCTGTTAGAAGTAAAATGGGTTTTATAATCTAACGTGCCATGTAGATACATTAGGCTGATAGCATGGCAGGTTCCTGACGGCACAACTAAAGTGTTTCAGCGGACGTTGGCAATTCAAGTTTTTAATTGGTATCAGGGTCCCATTTATGAATGATTACCACACTGTGTTTTTTATCACTTGCTTTCCTTCCTAGGACACTAAGTTCTCAACCTTCGGGAAAATCACAGTCATTTTGATGTTTATATGCGTTTGGCTAGGAGTTCCAAATGTGCTTGGCTGAGCTAGAGGATTTAGTGAGTTATACAGGCAATCCAAAAGGCGGTTGGTTTACGCAATGTCAGTTCCCTCATTTTTATTTCCGGACTAATCAACAGAAGCGTACCCGGAAGAACACCAAACACACGCTAGGCTACATAAAGGCTTATTTTCATTGGACTCGTGAAGAAGAGTCGAGTCATAGATCATAGAAGGCTCGTTCTCTAGATGTCGTCCGTCCTATTTTGACGCCTCTTACTTGATCGTTACGCTGTGATTCCCCGGTCACGTTTTGTCTTAAAGATTGCTATACGGCGTAGATTATTGTGTACCTCAAAGCTACTTGAACCTATGTTTGTAGTTGTGCTCAAATGCACTTGGATTCGCTGATCTTTGTGTTACTCATTTTATTTTGCTTTTAAGCCTCACTAAACGTCGAAGCAGCACTTCAGCTCCTCAGTTTTCAGTATCAAACCTGAATGAATTTCCACATGCTACTCGACAAACCAACTCTTGGAGGACCGCGGGTACTTTTAACCAACTAGCATTTGGCTTCAGACACAATGCTTTACCACAGCATAATATAGTTGAATCGGTGTCCTGGTCCGCTCCTTCGATGTGCTCTCGTCGCAGGAGTTGGCCACCGGTTTGTTATTGAAAGGTTTGAAGTTATGTGCATTTCCAAATCGACTAATCAGTTAATCAATTACTCACATACGGATACCATTGAGACGAAGTTGACTAAAACTACCTGTATTATTTATAACGGTAAGCACTGGGTGTGACTGGGTGTTCTTTTCCATCAACTGGATCATACCTTAGCGTAATGTCAGTGTGCTGAAAACAAGTAGCAACTGGTAAGTTTGCTCTTTCTAACGTGTATTGCAGGGTAAAAACTGTATTCATTACCAATATGGGTCTGTGTGTTGACAAAATTTTGATTGGTTTTCAGATTAGGCTACCTACAACAACCACCAAATGTTTGTGGCAACAGCTAAAGACACATAGGTGTCTTATATGCAGTATTGACCCGGACTTAATTATACCTGAACCAGAGGATATAGATATCCTGGCAGGGCTAAGCGGCTTATCTAACGGAACAACAATGATGGGCACAGTTTTTAAAAGCTTCATCATCCTACAGGTGTTGAAAGTTGGCTATTCGGGTAAGATAACGTTTCACTGTGTTTGCACCTTACTTACATATATATTCACCCTCTCAGCATGTTCGTTCTTGGGAATGTCAGGGTGGTTTATTCTTACGTGCTGATCTCGAACTGAAAGTTCAGACTGAGGTGTCAGTTGAATGCCCAAGACTGGGAAGTAAAGCCGAAGAAGGTCAAACAGACGCAATTTGTGTAAAACCAGAGCTACACTTACAATCTTATATTCTACTAAAGAAACGTATAGATATCCTGTGATGAGGCTTCGCAACGCCACCACTAAACTTGATAGATGCCTACTAAGAAAATTACTGGACCGCTTTGCAGTGTGTATTCATTGTCGTTAAATATCAAAATAACATTCAGGAAACGTGATTGTTCATTTCCAAAAACAATGTGCAAGTAATGTCCTTATATTTATACCCACTGGCATCTGACAGCTTAACCTGTTCTGTTTGGCAAACAACGCTGCACTCGGAAGTGCTCATTTCCAAGGCCACCTCTTTTATCCAAATGGAGAGCCAGTGGCCACACGTTTCGAAAATTGAGATATCCAAAATTTTCTTGAGAAGCTCGAGTATGTGGTCGAAATGTCTGCACTAAAGACCGATCGGGATACATCGGTTGCGCTGAAAAGTCCCTTTAAGGTCCGTGTGACAGCTGATTAAAGGGTTCGTGACGGGATGAACTGGGCCACCGCTGAAAGACACATTCAGCCAGCTGACTATCACTGGGCTATGAGACGTCTCAAACCTCCCATAGATGGTGACCTGACGGTGTGTTCGGTTAGTTGGACCGTGTCTGGCCAGGACTAGGAGTGGCACATCCGCAGTGTTGCTGAACCAGCTCTTTAAATGCAAATAGCCTCCTCTTGGGGCTCGGGTGCGTTGGTGAGAGCAGTGCTTTTTAAGAATCTCACGCATTTGTTACGTGAAGTGCCTAAGGTACCACCGGCTATGTTGCAGATACAGGAGCACCGCAATAAAATATAAACGGAAAACCTTGAATCACTAGAGAATCAATAAACCAAAGATGTTGCCACAGTGAAAAGTGTAGCACGGCGGCGCATTTGAACAATCGGTCGCGGCTGATGTGGCAAGCCAGCTACAGATCAGTAAAGGCAAGAGAGAGAGAGAGTTCGAAGCTCGGTGACATCACCTGGGTATTATGTAGCGGAGGAAAGCTAGCCAGTTGTCAAACAAACTGGCAAAAGCTCGGGACTATTCAGTCTCCAAATCAAAACGGTCCATATGGAGGAGACTCCACCCGGTTTGTTGGGGATTTCGAGCCGATTTTCACCCCACGGAACGACCTATTCGCGCGCGTGAAACTCGCGGATGTCATACCAGAGCTCACCCTCTAAGAGATCAAGATCGAAGGGGCATTTGCTGTCGCAGAAGATTATGGCGACTAGGGCATCTTCGCAATTCTAAAGCAAAAGTATGAGGTCATTGAAAATGCAATTCATTTTCTTACACAAAATCATTCAACCAACAAGAAAATATGATCAGCGATCGGCTAGACTCCTGAGACGTCCAGCTTCTGTTTGCTACGACACATGTAGATTGATCGCATATCCCTTAAGTAGGTCAGAACGATCAAAGATACTCAGGAAAAGCTCGCTCGCTCTCTATTTCAGGAGTATAACTTTGCGATCTGGCACTCTCTGGGGATAGAAGACACTTACCTTATTATCTTTCAAGAAAAGAAGCCAGGGATGATGAGGCCTAAAATATCACGTTCGATGCAAATAGCCTGGTCATCGAGCTGGATCCTGGGAAGTGGGAACGACCACACCGGCGGAATTCCTTAATATGATAGGTCACCACAGACTTGAGGCACGTGAACGGTGTTGAAGGGCACCAGGAGAGACAAAGAAATGGAGACATTCTAGGTTCGCTACGATATACTAAGCCCGGAAGAAGCCTTATATTATCCTAAGAGAGCAATGATTTGGATGTCTCACTACCAATGGCACTTCGTGTTTTGGGACGAAACCTGATTGCCGAATGCAACGGGACGGCGCCCCTAAGATGATCTACTCCGGCAGACTGCACGCTGTCCAGAGATGATGAAATTGAGTATGTTGTGGTCTGATGATGGTTTCATCTGATGAGATGGGCTGAAATGGGGACAATATTGCATGCAATATATTTCTGTATAGACGATTGGTCCGCTGACTTCATGCGGCATTCGTGATGACAGCACATCGCAGTCATAACAGAACTCTTATCGGGGTAGGTCGAAGTGGCTGCCATGCCAAACCAGCGGGCGATTACGATCAGCAGACAGTAAGTGCAAACTACAGGGTACCAAAAATTATCATAGCGGATCAAGATCGGTTCATTTAGTGTGGGGTATTCAAGAGTTGCCGGTAATACCCAGGTTTTAGGCAGATGAAAAAGGCAGATAAATGGGTCGCAACAACCAAACGATCAAGGAATAGTTTGCAGCGAATGTAGGTTAATTAAAAACCTGTTATAAGTTTTCGTAGCTCATCAATATCACCTACGTCTCCCGGTTAATGAAGAACTTTGTTTTTAACACTCAACGCATGTCCCGAAATAGCCAGGAGGAAGCGGAAGATAGCGCCAAAAACTGATGGCCGTTCAGGACTGTGCTAACTAGATTAGGTCAGTTCAAGTAGTGAAGACCACTCCATACTGGTGCGAAGAACAAACAGATCACTAGAATGATAGAAGGAGGAAACAGGGCGCACAATGGCTGATTGGTTGGTGGTCGAGCCCGTCCGTCTTTGGTGACTGTCAAGAGGATGCTTTGTACAAGTCAAGACGGTTAAGCGTTGACGTGGACAAACGGTAACCAAATAAAAATGAAGCATGATGTGCTTGAGGATGTCAGCCTGATGGACCAGGCTGACCTAAATCAGGCGAACTGACCATCGGTCGCGTGCATACAGACTTGTGGGAGGCGAGATATGCAGCGTTGTTTGATACTAATGAAAGTGCAAGAAGTATCTGTTCAAGTGTCAAAGCACCGCCCTGTGTCTTGTGCATACTTAATGAGCAAATTATTAAACAATCTTCTAGTTTGTTCGTTATCGTCCGATATTCAGAAAATGTCCAGTAAATTTCAACAAGACGCTTCAATATGTCCGCTTTTTAAAACCTATTTGTAAATACTGCTTCGGTTTTGGTCTGATATCTTGTAACCCTCCAGTACACGTTTATCTATGTGCAAGTCAGTAATCAGCGGCACTCATCCTAGCCTCAAGAGCAAATCATAGGTAATTTTTCATGGCGTAATATAAACAGCCGTATGCAAGCGAAGTGAAACCTGTTATACTTGACAATGTTTGGAATTTCCGTATTCAACACTGTATTTTGTACCTTGGAATTGCATATTTGCTCTCAACGATTTAACTAGTCATTTTATTACTGTAGGTGTATTAGCTGAAAGTGGTGAAGCGGAAAAATGTGAGTTTTTGATAAGAGAAATTCGTTTTTAGACGAAATGCAAAAAAACAAGAGGTATTTAATCACAGGTTTTCACTGATGACCAGAAAAATAAAACGATTCTGTTGAAATTAATCTTGTTTATCAGGCTTTAACTCTATTTGGAATATCACTCCGATACTCAAGGATGCCGCAGCACTTTGTAGCCGCAAAAGTGTTGCTTGTAAACGTCATAGTACGTTACGCAACAAACCATCGCACACGATACACAGGGCAACAAACTGGAGCTACTTTTATGAGTCATCATAACACGTCTTTTAGACTTGTTTTGGGCACTGGAACGTGAAATCATGCTTATGCTGAGAATAATGTTGCCTGTTCTATTCTCTTGCATGTTTATCATCTTTGTGGACCGGTGATATTTAGCGCTCAGTCAATTTACAAATCGTTTCATGTGAAAACGGATCCCTAGTAAACCTTTATAATTTCCCAGATGGAAGCTAACTCATAAAATGATGCTTATACTCCATGTCTTGCTGGATATTCAGTTCCCTCTGATTGCGGTTCTACAATATTCGGACAATCTACCCGAGTCTATATGATATAGGGAAGACTAGCTAAAATTCCATCTACCGATGAGTGAAACCAAGTCAACCTTATTCACAGTTCATTAGTTTACTCCCGATGGGTATTTACAGAAGACTTCTAAATTGCTTCAATACTCCGGGCGCTTGTATTTGTTCAAGTGTTGCATTATAAAGCTTCATAATCTACAACCTCTTATCTACCACCTATGAATGAAGTACAAAATAGCTTGTATAAGTTAGCAGGTAAGTTTCCTCGTCAGCGTAACACAGTCAGTTTGTAGACTACTAAATAAAGGACGCAGGCAGCACAAGACAGGGGTGCAGTCCTCAACCTTAGTCGCAAATGTTTGAGTATTTGTGTACCAAGAACGACATAAGTAACACACCTACGTAGGAAAATTTGTTGAACCTGCTACATAATAAATTAAAAACAAACGAACACGCAGGCGTTATTTTTTACATTTTACAGGACATTCAAAATGGGCCACTTACTGAGACCACTTTGCGACATTTGTTCAGTCGCCGGCATGTTTAGTCACAAGTCCATGGAATCGCCTAGGACTAAAGAAGAGTTAATTTAACTAGTTGACACTTAATTGATAATGAACCGCGATCGATACACTGGTTAGCAGCCAAACTCTACTTATATTGGAACAAAGTAGAATGGGCTACTTTTCACACTTTTCATGTTGTCAGCCTTGGTTATGATGGAACGTAGGTCAGAAGCGCTAGTTCCGTTACTGCTAATAAAGTTCGTTTCCATGCAGTCCTGCTTTGTGATGCGGTGACAAGCCTAAATGGAGTTAAATACTTCTGACACGGTTTTCTGCGTAATCGATGGCGCTGTGTGAAACAAGTACTTACCATAGTCTGGCATTTCACGGTATCATCGGAATGCTTGAAGACGTAGGTTTGTTGTCTTCCGGAGTTTTTGCTCAGCTCTTGAACAGTTTAGACCAGAAACAAAGAAGGCTATGAGTTGATAAGATATGACTCCAAAATTTCTGCGAACGTGAACGTCATGGTTGTACGTAGCACATAAGACGCCGTCTTCCGTAAACAAACCAGGCTGTAAAGCTAGTCATAGGTGTGTGTGCTATTTATGTTAGTTCTGTGGAATAACTGAAATAAATGAATGACTTTTTATAGATGAATTTTGGCCATAAATAGTGGCTCAATTTATTCTCTTCTATACCTCAATTAGGTAAGTACATTCAAGTTGCTCACTGGCGTTCAAAATGTTGCTTAACAGTACCACATAATTATTATTTCACTGTTATTGGTAGACGCTACACCACTCAAATTGTACAATAGTTTGACGCCTAGAAAAAGGTGTTCCATTTTGGTGCGTTTCAGCTGCTTGACCCCAAAAATATTTCCAGGATAATTTCTATTAATTAGGCAGAGAACGTTTCTCGAAAATGTTTTTTGTCATATCTTAGTACTCAATTATTACTCGATCAGTAGGAATGTTGACGGTCATTGTAACAAGTTGCATTGGGTAATTTAAGAAAAAGACGACTAGTGTAGTCTGTCAGGTTTATGCGGAAAGACTTCAGCTGCGCCTACAATAGTTTGCCGCCATGAGGAATTAGCGCATTGTTTTGGAGAAAGCGAAGAAGAAGCAATAGTCTGTGTGGCGTTTCATATAGGAATGCCATCGATTTCAGTTCATCCGACCTAAAATCTTTATAAAAGGTGCACAAAAAATAGAGAAGAAGACCATTGAGGGATGTTAACCAGATGCACCATTCATTTGCCGGTAATTTCTCCAATCTGAAAAGGTCGGACGCACACAATCTGCAGAATTTTTCGGGGTATTTTTTGAGGACATACAAAACGACCTGGAATTTTTTCTTCAAATATCCCCGGTATCTTGGCCTGTCAGGCTCCAACTCTCTTAACCTTAAGTTATGTTTCTATGTGCCACGGAGTCCTTTGTTGATTTAATGTTCACGAAGTACGTTCCCATATCCCTGAGGCGCCATTAAATAACACTGTATTTAGTGTATTCGTCTCTTTTAGAGTGCTTTGGAGACTGGGGTTTGATTCACTTGGTAGAGCCTTGCTTCACATCGACCTTCACGTAACCAACACTAACAAACATGATTGACTACCTTGAATGATTGCTTCGCTTACCGTTTAAAGTTAGAGAAGGCTCGGGATAAAAACACAACTACAGCTGCAAATGGCCATCTTGAGATCTGAGGCACCCTTCTGCCCTTTTGCCTGTCAATTTTAACGCAAAATGGTCGCATCCTAATGGCTCAAGCCTAGAAAAAATGTGCCAATGGTGACATTTTTGAAAATCTATTCTCCTTCAAACCTTGAGGTAATTCGAATGCTTATTCACGCTAGTCGGTCTTATTTGCAACTTCTGGAAAAGCTATTTGATTTAGGAACCTTGCAAACAAGAATCAGTTGTCTTCCTTAAGGCAAGAATGTATCGCTCATTTGAGTTGACGTCGGTTCATTTGGTTCGCCTAGTTGACATAGTTTCAAAAATTGAGCGACTGAATTGCTCAACACAGTGGCCACTTACACATTGCTTTACTGTAATAAAAATGTCTTCTCTGGAATCCGTATTGTACGTAATAGAAATCTTATTGGACACCGGAAGGTAACCGAATCGCCACTGTATATTAAACAATTGGGATCATCCACTATTACATTGTTTCAGTCCAGGTCTGGACGAGCGATTCAAGAAAATTCTACCTTTTACATCCGACAGTATGGAACTCTACTTAGTCTTCTTTGCTTCTTAGCTCACAAACACTTCATTTCCTGCTTACATCTTCCTTCAAGTCTATGCCGTTTAAACTGAAGTAGGCACGTTTAAAAGCACAGCCGACATGAGCAAGATTTGTTCACATCTACTACACATTTGTGAGCATAGAACCAAATCCTCAAGTTGTTTACTGTAAATCTCTGAAATTATTTACAAGCATTCGCGCCGTATTAAAATCCACCAATAAACTAATGTCTAAATTCAACATTGATGATAAAAATATGACCCCTGAGTCTCAGCTTGACTGTTCTCGTTTCCGTCAAGTATTTTAGATTATACCTAAAAAACAAAATCCGAAATGTGCCAAAGCTTTCCGATGTGACGAATTTTTATGTACAAATAATGCATGTTACAAAAGATATATTATTCACCACCATCTGAATGTATTTGGAATGCTCCCTGTGCCTGAATTCAGTGATATAAGCTTGCGTAACTTCCCACCTGTGTCCTACGTATATGACTACATAGATTCAAGAAAGAAACAAAACAATCATTCTACTGAACAGAACGGGTAGTGGCAAAATATGTTTGCGAGAAAGGAAGTAAAAGAACATTGTGTTTATTAAAATGTAGCACACCCCGGAATAAACAAAACGAGTTCCAGTTTTGTAGGGAATCCTCTCACATTCACCACATTTCACAGTGCCAGAAGTCAGTTCAGAGTGTCTACTATATTGAAACCGTAATGCAATTAAATATTTGGAGCAGCTTTTGATGCTGTTTCGTTTAATTAAACGTTTACGTTCAGTATAGAAGTCCATACTTCTTATTCAAACCAAACAGAGAGTATTAAGGGATTATTGGAGGCGTTACAAAGTAAGCTTTGTTTTACTGCGCAGTACTCACTTGGCATGTTGATTATTAGACGAAAGACGCCTTGTGTCGTCATTGGTGAAACAGAGTTTAAGTCAAATAGATTTCACGCAAGTGTTCGGAGCCTTTGATCGATTTACTGAGTAGGAGTTAGACTCAGCAATTGAGCGAATGCATTTCCATGGCTTAGCGTTTGCATTCTAACGGTAGCACCCGTGGATCTGTTAGTTACAGTCAGTTAATTATCACCAATGAAGCCGTATCTACTTCCAGGCTGAGAGCTGTGCCATAATCGAGGGCTGCTGGTGTCTTTCCAGAATTGGGCTGGAGAAAATTGGATGAGGATCTTAAGCTGTGATTATGAAAATGTTGACCTTCCTTGGCGCTCGGCTCTCAGATCTGACCTGTATGACGTTGTATGGAACACGGTCCTATATTTTGTTGTAGCCCATTACATACTGTACTTCGCCATGACCTACTGCCAGAACTTGATGGGACGTTTTTAGTCCGTCGCTTTACATGACTTGCATGAGTATATGGGCACATATATCCTCGGATTTTCAAGACATTAAGCAAGACCCGTTATTCACTCCTTTTAACCTACTTTAAAATGCCTTATATCGCCTCAAAAATTAATTAATTTGTTTCAACAAAAATGTTTTTGTCCCTTTCAGATAACACGAAAGCTTTGCTTTCACATACACCAGGTAGTGTTCTTGCATTTTCACAGGATTCCTAGATAGCGGAGAGTTCAAGGTTGTTTCCTTCAGTTTTGGATAGCAACCCTAATTAGTTATGTGAGGTCTTTTAGGAAAATTTAGTCCTTCTCTGCTTTGCTTAGTGGGTTTTCATCTGCAGCTTGTTTATTTTTTTACACCAGGCAAAGATCTAATAAGTCCTGTGTAATCTTCCACAAGTGGCGCCAGTTTGTTGAAGTAGCAACAGAAGTCTTCGGAGTTTATGCAAACAGTTTAACAGCATTTGGGTAACCGTATTGCGTTTAAAATAATTATCTGTTGATTAATTGGGGCTTGCTTCATCCGTCTTGGGTTTTTTTAAGTAGAAATCTAAAAACCAACTTGATAATATAACTTGCTAATTGTACTAACCGGTAGTATCTTGCACTTCAAGATCCATTTTATTTTCTTGGTAGTGTACACTTATAAAATATAATGGAAATAGGTTTGTTAACTCAAAACTATACTGCTTTTGAAATCATACGTATAACATCTAGCTGAACATATCTGTTGAAATCATGCGCTGATTAATGCTTGACACGGATGATAAATTTCCCGTTGGAATTTTGCAGAGATGTGTTACAACGAATTCAGATCTTGATAGATACGTCCATTTGCGTGTCAATTATGTTTTGAAAGGAGGCTCACCTAGAACCCAGCTGAATATCTCATTTAGTATGTCCAAACATTTTTGAGCAACCTTATGAGTAATGAATTCAGATCTCTTTTCGCGTTCAACTAAAAGCCGTTTGAAAAGCATAATTGTGCCTAAAAAAACCTTATCTTCAGAATCTGTTTGCAAAGAGTTTGGGTGGTGTTGTGTCTTGTAAAATTGGCTCGAGCGCGTGTCAGAAGCTCAGAGTATAAAATTTTACTGTATTATTTCCGAAAAACATTGTTTTGTAACTTGAGCAAAAACCAACAGACGAATGGTTGGCAGTTTAATTCCTTTAGTACCTGCTTACTTACCTTGAACGGGTTCTTACACGTAGCCTAGCTTTGATCTGGCCTTTGATCAAGCAGAAAAATTTACTAATTGATTTATTCCAGAAATGCTCCACTTGCATGGTTTTATTTGCATTGTACAAATATAAAGAAATCAGATGCTTGGTCATTTATACTCTACAGCACGAAAATCTAGTGGATGTACGAGGTGTTTTGCAACAAATTTTCCGCGTTGAAAAAAAAGGATTTCAGTATCTGTAGAGATGGCCGCTTAATAATTGCCCTTAATTAAAAATTCTGACAGGATGTTTATAATTGTATTTAGGATACTCTCAGATGGGCTGTACGGTTCTGTACCGACTGAGCATACAAAGAAATCAGCGGAACCTAATTACATCAACAGACTGGCGTAGACCAAAGATCGACCGTATGCAAGTTGGGCATAAAAAGCAATGTCCTTAGGACTATTTGGTTAGTCATTTAAGTGGGCGATACTACATGTATACTTGAACATGACGGACCATTTAATAGGCTACAGTGGAACAAAGAAGGTGAATAGGTTCTATCCAACACACGTATATATCGAATAATCTTATATATACCATTAAGCTTATGGGAGCAACGTTGCCCAAATCATCCGCACCCAGTGCCATTTTTGAGATTTTTACCCCTGCAAAAGACCTGTAAGCTAAATGCTACAAAAATTCACAGCAGCCACAGTTTTGAGAACATGTAATTGGACAGCTTTTGGGTGCTCAGTGATCTGAATCACAGAGACAGGAATGTCGCATGCAATAGTGGACCAGCTCATTGTGTACTGTTGCAGACCGGCAAAATTTACGTACAACTTTGGCACCTACATTGGTTGTAATAGTCAAAGCCCAGCCTATTTACTTGGTAATTTATGAGCGCAAACCTATAAGAATGCGTAGGTTTGTTTGCAAAATCCATTTCATTGCATACGATATAAAGTGCTCTTCTTACTCGTATAGGTGTCGGGGAAGAGGTCACAACCAAAATAGAAGGTAAGAGATGGCTCTGGTCAAGTTTATACTCTGATCAACCACAACCTCCAAAAACCTGGAGTATTCTATCGAAGTATTAAGGTGACGCCCCTGGTAGCATTTATGCTGTAGCAATTATCAAATTCTCATCACATTTCCGAGAGCGTCGNGAAGTATTAAGGTGACGCCCCTGGTAGCATTTATGCTGTAGCAATTATCAAATTCTCATCACATTTTCGAGAGCGTCGTAGTTTTTATTCTCACAATTATTCAGACGTTTTGCGTCCGAAAAGTCTAAGTACAAATGAAAGCATCAGGTTTAGGCAACGGAGTAGTGATCAGCTCCAAATCATATTTCATTCACCAATCAACCGGACCACTGCATGACACTAAGTTTCAAGGAAACCCGCCGAACTAGTGGATGCCTGACAGGTGACTAGTTGCTGCAGAAGGATGCAAAGTGACATCTCAGCAAACTAAGTAGGTATACGACATGAAACTGTCCAACAAAAGCACTAACTTATATTCCAGCAGTGAAATCCAAAGTTGCAGGATGGAATCTAAAACCAGCTTTCTGTTTGGGAAAACAGAAGATCTGACTGATGAAACTATCGTATCCATTACAGTCTAACCAGTACAGTCTACCCAGAATGTAGTGACCGAAACGGACGTTACTGCATTTCGTGACACCAAGAATGTGCCCAGAGATAAATTACGATTTTATATTTATAACCAAGTGGGGCAAAGGTTGAATAAGTCACATTTGCACATATTAACAGCTTTCGTCCAAGAAGAAGTTATGTGTGATGGTTGTTTGTAAAAATCCCAAAATTAATGTACTAGTGTCGACGAAATTTATGCACAAATGCAGTAGGTAGACCTCCTGGCAGATATATCCAAACTGGAAGATGTGACAATAAATAGTAACCACAGAAATTCAACATTCCGCTCGGCTTGTATATACATAACACCCCCATGCATTTACTGAAATTCCCATTTAACTCCACCAGATTTGGTGGACGGTGCATTAAATGGAGTAAAATGTGAGTTTTCATATTATTTTTGCCTAATTTGTCGGGAAGCGTAAAGCGCTGAAAAAAGAAAGTCGATACTTTTTTTGTCATATGTTGGCTCAAGAACTTCAACGAAAATTATGCCTCCGAAAACGTTCCGAACTGAAGATTATAGTAACCACTTCCCCGGACTCGATCAGCCTACAAAGGATGTTGTTTGCAGGATAAAACCATTTGTGAATAAAAACACTGACAATTAAGCAATTTCATAGCCAATTCGTTAGTTTTCCAGATGATGCCAAGAGAAAGCTAGAAACTACCAACAACTGTGGTACTAACTGAACATTAATATTTATAGATTTATAGCACAATTTCCATCTATTGATTTTTGTGGTAATGGACAAATCTAAAAATACAACGTTGGAGAAAAAGCTGATTGGTTTAGTACGTTAGTCTAGTAAGCTATGAAGTATGCTTTTCACTAACAAAGTGATGTGGAGTGCATTGATTACTAATAATATTATTTTCATAACTGTACGTATAAAAGGACGCTGACGGTAAACCAAGTGTTGTTCACCTAAGGTCTGCTTTGTGGGCAGCTCGTACCATTGAGTTTAGTCAGCATTCTGAAACTAATTATCAAATGAGTTCAAACACTCTCGTGGAACGTTCACTGTGCGCCTTAAATGTGCCGTCCCCAAGCGATGAACATTCAATACGTTGAGTGATGTGCTTATACAAGAGCGTATTAAGGATATTTGAAGTACGCATTTTTGAAGTGTATCACATACGATAGTTAAAATTGGTAAACATGCATGAACGGTAAAATAAATAGAAAAAAGATACAGAATTTTTCTTTTCCTATCTTCATTACGCTTAGCTTGTACATGAGCTCTGGTAAATATCAGGGGACATAAGAGCAACAGAGCAGCTTGGAGAAAGATATGAAGAGGGTGGCTTTTTTATCAGGGTGGGGACGAATCACCAAAACAAAAAGGTTTGCGCAACAAACGTTTAAATGAGGAGGGAAGTGGGATTGCTGCAGCATTTACCATATGGACTGAGTGAGGGAGAAACATAAAGATCCCTTCGCCCAACTCAAGCAAGTTAACATTGGAAAGGCTCATATTTGACCTCAACGGTACTGTAGTTACCGCGTAAGCTCCGGTTCCACAGGATGCCGTTGGTATATGTATTTTGGAGTGAAGAAACAAGAGAATTTTGGTAACTTAATCTTGTCTACGCAAAACAGTGTTCATCTGCCTCAATCACCAGAACCATAAATTTTGTCCCCTTCAGGACGGTTTGTGTCAATGTCTGACGACTTACAGCTAATGCCATAAATCGCTCCGTCGGAGTCTAAATCTTGTGAGGCTTAGCTTGCCCTCCCATTCCAAGTATTCTGTAAACCTTTAAAAACAGCACACCCTTCCACAGTCTAACTGCTCCTTTAAATTTTTTGGGGGTATTTTGACCACATTATGATTAGCATATATTTTTACTCCTGAAGATGATAACCTCAAGAGAATTCTTAGACGATTATAACCCTAGCTAATTAATCTTGGTCACATCCAACACCTAGCTTTCTTGGCATCTGGTACATCTGGGGATGACTACGTACATACATTCCAAGCTTGCCGGTTTTCCGGCTGTTACTTTTAAATTCGTTCAGACTACATTACAGACAACCTACTTTCTGCTATACAGATCAACATATTTTCAAGTGAATGCCCACCTTCTTTTGTGAGTACACACTCGACTGGACATGACTTCGTAATAGGAACCCCTGTGCACGTGACACGAGTTTTTAGGGCCTTATTCACCCAAAAATTAAGGTAGGGAAACCCAAATACCTCTCGTGAAAAGATGTCTGTGCACAATCATTGTTCTAAGGAAAGTGTTGCGACTGATCGGTATACGTAGACTTAACGAGACTATTTTAAAATTAGGGAGCGTAGTGCTGTAAAACATTTGGTCATAACCACTTCGGCACTGTTTTGGTTTTTTGATTGTTTTCATATGCCTTGAAAAGTTATTTCAGGAATACGTGATAAAAACAATCTCCTCAATTACATGCAGATGAAGTTCACAAGAATCTATCAACGTTGGCAAGTATGGCTGCTTGCGACATTTATTTACATATTTTGCATATTTTGTAGAACTAAAATGAGTCATTCTGTCCTTGTTTACTCATGGAAAGAAGCATGCTACTTAAAATAATGTACACTTCTTATGATACCCATGAGAGTCAATTGTGGTTTATATATTTTATGGTTCTTCAGGGCTAGCAGTGACCCGCAAAAAGTGCGTGATTTTAAAATCACGTGAATCTTTAGAAGCAACCAGAAGGAGTTGCCGACGTGCGCCCCTCCTAATAACCTGCTTAGTTCCATAGTCCTCTTCACAGATATCTTACAAATTCTACAACATTTATGAGTATTTCAGTACTCCATTTGAATCTCAATTGAAAACACGTGATGTGGTGGCAAAGCTTTCTGATGCGTCGTTCTGACTGCCTTCCGAGTAATAGCGTAGCAGCCACTCTATGTCGAGCAACTCAATAACCTTCAGTACTTGGTAAGTTAGCTTGACGAAATCGCTGTCAAACAGTTGCAAAATTTCACGAATTTTCACCTTTCTTATTGGCAAAACCACAGTTTACAGACTCGTAATTATTCCGTACGCGGATATCATAATACTGATACCAGCACTAATTGGACCCAAATGTACTCAGCAAATATGTGAATCTGACAGCCAAGAGCGCATTAGGTTAACTGATTTATTTTCTCTTTCACAGCAAAGTTATGCTTCTGTTTGTATTTTTATGCTTTCTAAGAACTTGTATTCATTAAGTACCTAATAAACCGATTTTTATGTCATACTTTCAGATAATACAAAGGACATTTTATCTCCTCTGGAGGGTATGGTTAATTTATAGCACCATAATCACTGAGGTAGTTGACCCCCTGATAAATAAAAACAGTTAGTCTACCTACCATTACAATATAATATTTATTTTGGATTATTCGTATCGACGAATTATTGTGCCGGTATAAACAACAAAGGGAGTATATTTTTACAAAAGGGCATGCTGTGGAAATTTTTAGGAGTTTTTCAGACATTTGTGAGTTGTCACACGTTCTTGAATAACAATATCGATATGGGATTTATTCTCAAGTTAGGGAAGAATTCCAAAGCAGCCGCCAGTAGATCATTAGAAATACAACACGATTGGTGACAATAACGCCATATTATAAAATCCGGCCGCAGGCATCTAATGCAGGGAAGCAACAATTTTATCAGAATGAGGCAATTTCTCCCGGTACGGATTGCTTTCATAAACGCGATGTGGGTGTACTCAGGCGTTGTCTGAAATTAGTTGATGTAAATTAGTGAGGGCTGTTGGGCGCAAAGCACTCTCTCAATGTGGAGGTGTATTTTTTCAGAAATTTGACATCCCGTTTGTGTTTGTTAGCCATCTTAGAATAAACTAGTTCACCTGTCTAGCCACCACATGCTCAGCATATTACTAACTAAACTATGTGCTTGCAAAATGTACATTTTTCGGGTTTGTGATGTTCTGTTTCCTTTTTATTACAGGTTTGTTGCTGAAAGCTGTAGGGGCAGCAATCGGTAAGATTCAACTGCACAATGCATATTATGTTACTTGATGTGACAAACAGAAACTGTTGTCTTGTGTCGTTCATCGTTCCTCCCCCCCACAGCCAGTTGCATGTACAAGCACCTACATATTTTTTTCAATCATCAAAATGGCCTCAAGAAAATAATTACTAAATGTAAATATTTTCGTCAACCTGAGGCACAGTATCTCACGCGTGACCATAAGTCAAGATTTTATGGTCCAATGTCAAGCGAAATCTGCGATAAATTGTCTCTCAGTAGGAAGGAGGTTTGGCAACTTCTCACTTGTTCGCCAGCATAGTTAGGCTAGTGATAACAGGCACATCAAAACTTGAATTCAAGCTAAAAAGCTGCTGCTATGTCAAACGTTGAAGATGCAAGTGAAGTAAAACATCATTCTATCAACAAAACAAGGTCCCTCATATAGTTTCCGAAGGAGGCAAAGACTACATGTCAACATCGCAACAGGACAGAGGTTATTTTGGCGAATCTTCTGAAGTTTGGACCTGCATATCTATAAACACAACACATCACTATATTTGAAGTTCACGTGGACCAGATCCAAGTAGCGCGGAACGATTTCCTTAGGTAGCTTTACTAACACCCAAAAATACATGACACGATAATGCAACAAAGTTGACCTTTGTCGGTAATTCGTTTTTAAGTGCATGAAGTTCAGTGAATCAGCCTACGCGTGAATAGAGAAAACGTGGATTTTCTTACAGCAACTCACACTGGCCTCATCCTCTTATTAATCGGAAACACCCAAAGTTACAAACTGCATTGAAATGTTCGCAGATTTTCAATGAATGTCTTAGGGTGAAACCTACTATTAGAATATATCTGGAACTCATGCATTTTTGTCTTATCTGACGGTACTCTAGAAAGCAACGAAATATATGAGGCAATTTTTATTGCGTCTAAGAAAACATGTCAACAAATGGATGGGGGTTTGGCTGTATATATACATGTATTTTTTTCTTCAAATGTTTTCAGGTTACCTCCTGCAAGCCATAGAGGAGACGGAAGGTACGGATAATTTTACATTAAGGATTTTAGTTCTGTGATTCCGTTGAAAATATATTGAACATGCAGATTATTGTTGTTGATCACGACATTCAGCTTTGTACAAATAGTGCGCAGTTGGGTGGGTACCTTTCATGATCTTTCCCGTATGGTGCCAGTCAGCTGCCAAGCTCAGCACACAGGTCGACCGCCACCTCATCAACGACCAGGAAACTCACCCAAGCTGCCAGTATTTCAAAACATCACCAACAAATTCGTACGTCCCAGGCGCAAAACAGCTCGTTAATTGGAGACTTCTGCCTGCACACAAGCTTCCATACGACAACAATTCTTCTTTATTCATGAATACCTGCGGGAACGCGTCCATCCACATGGCGTAACGTGTCGACCGCCAATAAATTATTCACAAGCCTGACAACAGCTAAACAGAATGGCCGATGGATTGTCATGAGTACAGATCCCCACCACCACATCATAAAATACGACAGAATAGCTAATGAACATAGAGGGACCTGCTTAGGGATGGAAGAACCAGGTTTCATGGAGCAAATTGTCATGGCGATGGGACGAATAGTTAGACCCACTGCTAGATAAAAGAAAGACTATCCAGGTGGCAAATTCTCATAAACGATTGGAAACCGGGAGTACAGAATAAATCACAACGAAATCTGGATAAGAAATCTGAATTCAAGCTAAAAAGCTGCTGCTATGTCAAACGTTGAAGATGCAAGTGAAGTAAAACATCATTCTATCAACAAAACAAGGTCCCTCATATAGTTTCCGAAGGAGGCAAAGACTACATGTCAACATCGCAACAGGACAGAGGTTATTTTGGCGAATCTTCTGAAGTTTGGACCTGCATATCTATAAACACAACACATCACTATATTTGAAGTTCACGTGGACCAGATCCAAGTAGCGCGGAACGATTTCCTTAGGTAGCTTTACTAACACCCAAAAATACATGACACGATAATGCAACAAAGTTGACCTTTGTCGGTAATTCGTTTTTAAGTGCATGAAGTTCAGTGAATCAGCCTACGCGTGAATAGAGAAAACGTGGATTTTCTTACAGCAACTCACACTGGCCTCATCCTCTTATTAATCGGAAACACACAAAGTTACAAACTGCATTGAAATGTTCGCAGATTTTCAATGAATGTCTTAGGGTGAAACCTACTATTAGAATATATCTGGAACTCATGCATTTTTGTCTTATCTGACGGTACTCTAGAAAGCAACGAAATATATGAGGCAATTTTTATTGCGTCTAAGAAAACATGTCAACAAATGGATGGGGGTTTGGCTGTATATATACATGTATTTTTTTCTTCAAATGTTTTCAGGTTACCTCCTGCAAGCCATAGAGGAGACGGAAGGTACGGATAATTTTACATTAAGGATTTTAGTTCTGTGATTCCGTTGAAAATATATTGAACATGCAGATTATTGTTGTTGATCACGACATTCAGCTTTGTACAAATAGTGCGCAGTTGGGTGGGTACCTTTCATGATCTTTCCCGTATGGTGCCAGTCAGCTGCCAAGCTCAGCACACAGGTCGACCGCCACCTCATCAACGACCAGGAAACTCACCCAAGCTGCCAGTATTTCAAAACATCACCAACAAATTCGTACGTCCCAGGCGCAAAACAGCTCGTTAATTGGAGACTTCTGCCTGCACACAAGCTTCCATACGACAACAATTCTTCTTTATTCATGAATACCTGCGGGAACGCGTCCATCCACATGGCGTAACGTGTCGACCGCCAATAAATTATTCACAAGCCTGACAACAGCTAAACAGAATGGCCGATGGATTGTCATGAGTACAGATCCCCACCACCACATCATAAAATACGACAGAATAGCTAATGAACATAGAGGGACCTGCTTAGGGATGGAAGAACCAGGTTTCATGGAGCAAATTGTCATGGCGATGGGACGAATAGTTAGACCCACTGCTAGATAAAAGAAAGACTATCCAGGTGGCAAATTCTCATAAACGATTGGAAACCGGGAGTACAGAATAAATCACAACGAAATCTGGATAAGAAATCTATTTAAAAGGCAATTGATAGAAGCCGAAGAAAACCTCACCAAAAGGCTTATTTTTAACTTGTAAAGCGGCGATGAAATCGATCGGACTGGTTAAAAACGCTCAGTAGGAACTTCCTCAAACCGCTGTCCTAGCCATCACACATAACAAGCCAATAAACATGTTTCTCGACGAATAAAAACAAGCAATGAACAAATTGAAGGAGGATTAAAACGTCGCGATTCTACAGGCAGAAAAAGACGCCTAACGGTGATCATTGACAGACCGGACTACATCAATAAAGCCAAGGAACTACTTAACGACACAACCACACAGCGGCTTGGAACGTGACCAAAGTAAGCAACCAGCAAAAAAATCAATAAGAACTTAACGCAACTCCAAGATTTCCACAAGATCACAAAAGAGGAATTTTGGAGAATGAGGGCTCATGATTCGGCTAATTCCTGCTTCTATGGACTTCCGAAAGGAACAAGACCCCTCTGATTGATTGTACTACTCCCTGGAATAGTGACCTACAATCTTTTAAAAGAACTATAGAAAAGGGTCTCAACACCTGATGAAAACTGCGGGACATCTCTGGAGAAACCGAAGAAAGAAGACATTGATTAGGAAAGCATAATAGTCCCTTTTGATGACAGCTCTCTATTCATGTCTGTAGATCTCGAGTTTGCCAAGTCAACTGTAGCCGAATTATTGGAAAACGGCGACATGCCAAGTGGATCGCTGGAAAGGAACATCTGCCGATTACTCGACTCATATCCGGTTATACATTTCGAGCTCAGCCGAGAACATTGCAGAAAACTACGAAAGATATCTCAACATATGGTTCTGCTACGTGCATCACACTTTTGTAATCATCCAATGGAGCGAACTGTGGCGAGTAAGCCAACTTCTTAACAACGCTTTCGATGACACCAAATTCATAATGGAAGGAAACCACAAAACCCGCATTTCTGGACGTCGTTGTCACTAGATGGTTAAGCGGATAGCTATAAACTGGGGTCTACACGAAAACAACCCATACGAACTTAATCCCGAGTCATCATACCAACCATCCAAATTGTCACAAACAAAGCTGCGTTAGACACTTTGGGTCTACACGAAAACAACCCATACGAACTTAATCCCGAGTCATCATACCAACCATCCAAATTGTCACAAACAAAGCTGCGTTTGGACACTTTTCAAACGGATCGGGACACGTTGCAGCGCAAAATAATTCAAGGTTGAAACTCGCCTATAGAAATTGTTGCAGAGGAATGGATGCACAAAGAATTTCATTTTAAGATTACTAAAGCAGGCGAATACGATAAATGCAAAAGCACAAAACGGATGCAAACGAGTCACACTCCATACCTCAAGAACGCCGCTGAAATGCCAGCAAGACTTTAACAACAGCCCGATACAACAGTTGCTTACAAACCTGCAAACATTTTTCAGAATACTCCGTTAAGAACAATGACGAAGAACAACCTCATATACAGGATCCAAGGCAAGGACCGCGATAAACGTTATGTGGGACAAACGGGAAGACAGCGCTTCACCAGAATTTATATAAACACGAAGTCGCTACTGAAAGACACGATTCATTTCCTTTCATCTCCATGCACAAGGATCAGGAAGGACACGAGTTTGACTAGACCGGTGTTCACATACTGGCTCAAGTGAGAACGAAGTAAGAACATAAATCATGGAAGTTTGGTAGTCCGCTAAAGAAGCTACCAACAAACATAAAAATTTCCCATTTACCAATCACTGAGAGTACGAGAACGCCAGAACAGCAGAATTCTAAGCTGCAAAAGCAGTAGACAACGGACTTATAAAAGAAGCAGGAAAGCCGCATTCAAACACATTAATTTGATTGCAGAAGCCGCGGACGCAGAGACAACAACAGTTTCAATGGAAAAAATAGGGTGGTGCGAAAAAGACAAGCAAGCTTGCGAGGGCCAGACAGCGCAATGCTAATCAAAGCCAAGGATCAAACTACTGATGATAGAAGACATTGAGATAGCCAATCACCTCAGAAAAACGCAGGCCACAACGCAACAAAGATCACAAACTGACAAAGAGATTCACGAAAAGCTTCCCTTAGGTAGTCAATTACGTCAGTATATAACAGGGAGTCTACATATGCTATACAAACGCCCGCAGGCAACGGTGAAGTACCCGCCCAACTGCTCACTGACAATGTCTCCTCGTATGGTGACGAACCGGTTGCAAGCCAAATGCCAAGCTTGGCGAACAGGTCGACAGCCATGTAATCAAAAACCAATAAGAGTAATTGTGCAGACATTAGATTAACGCGGATATATTTTTCAGCCATAGAAAATTTGTTAATCAATCACGAGTACTCCATCCACGCGTACTCCAAAAGGCGAAGTAGCGCACACTTTTCAGAATTCACCGTACATTCAGATGTACCATTAGCAATTTTTGCTCAAATAACCTACTGATTATCTTAAGTTTGCTTCGCAGTTCCTTCAACATTCCCATTGTTATGATACATCGCCGTAGCTTGCTTGACAGGTAGACGATGAAAAATACGTCTTATTGAGAATCAACAATGCTACTAAGTTTGGTATGGAAGTTTTAACATATAAATATTTCGACGTGTTTAAGCGTCATTATAAGAATGCGTCAATATACACAGTACAGCGTACCTAGGAAGTCCGTCATGAATTCAGCCTCCGGTGCATTAAAATCCGTATACATGTCTAGATTTTACACTGAAACACAAAGAACCACCCCTTTCCCGGCAAATAAAAGGCTGAAAATTAAATTCATTATAGAAGCAAAGTTAATTTTCTATTGCAAATTCAGTCCAGATTAAGAGGTGTACCCCGGGAACCACTTAGACTTCGTAAATGTGAACGTGTTCTCATGGGCCAAACGCTTATATAGATATGTCATAGCTCGTAGCGAAACTTCCGCTAGTTTGGAAGGTCGGGGTAACCATTATTTCTTCCTGTTAAACTACATATATTAAGATTATCCATAATATGTTACGTGTGGACAAACCTAGTCTCGCTGAAAACTTGTGGAACCTATTCCTGCCAATCTTCGTGAACGGAACGGAAGAACAAAATATATTCGTAAATAGTTGCACAGTTATGATCGGTGCCTGATGAGATGAAAATAGATTCAGAGTGACGGTAGGCCAGTGTAAATGCTGTCTACGATAAGTGTATAAACCAGGCCATGGTCACTGGCGTGATCTAGTAAGGTGAGCCTGTGAAAGCTGTAAACGTACACTCGTTACTTGCATCCTCTCCACATCTAACCATTATTCTTCTACAAATTTAACTCCACTTGTATGGGTTTCCGCTCATTTCGTTTAATTTCTGCAGTTATTGTAGAATTTGGTGTAACACAATTTGAAGGTACGTGTTACATCTGGATAGATGGTTCTTCATTTCAAGAATTTAGATAAAGCAATGAAGTTCCTTGGTTTTGTATTCAACTGTTATAGTCAACACTTGAATATCGGATTGCCAAAGTTCTTTTCATTGAATCAGATTTTCTTTCACATGTTAAATTTCACCAGTGGGTTGTTATGTTACCTTGTAACATAGTGGAAAGACATGCTCCTGAAAAAATGTTAAGGTTTGAACAAGTTCATCTGACTAGTTTATGTTTATGTTAGGGAGGTCAGGTTCCTGAAAATAGACTTACAATACCAGAAACCTAATCAGACACCCAAATTCCGCCAAAAGCTTAGTAGGAAAGCCATCAAGCTTCCATGCCAGAAAAGATAGCGCCCTACAGAACGCTTGAGCAGTCATTCAATTCAGCAACGACGATGAGTTTTCAGATATTTCATAGAAGCAGGGTCGATGATGGTGGGCATTCACCAAACGCTGATTAGACATCATTGATCAACGTAAACAGTGCCCCTCAAATACTGCAATGCCCCTTAAAACATTCCCGCTTGCTTGTTTCCAATAAAGTCGTTGTGTTCCTTGTTGACGAGTCGTTTTCCGACACTAAGACACTGAAGCAAACTCAGAAATTAGTTAGGACAGTTCGCCAGTCTAATGAATTACCAATAAACAGGAGGCGTCGTGATTCACAGTTTATTATATATGCATCTACTCCCGATATTTTTGTCCTTCCCGCTACCACACATAATAAAGTATAACCACAACCAAGTTTAGATAGTAGCAAAATGAAATGTACTCATTTCACCTTTCTGTGAATCTTTCGCTGTTGCAGTGTTCCCTTTTCACAGGATACTAGCAATATACATCCTGTATTTCTTATTTTTATCACACGTGTACAGTGTCACTGAGGCAAATAATAGAAAAATTGAAAGGTGTGTTTTATTTTCACTGTTATATGAAGTGTTTTTGAGTGGTTTTCCTTAACACTGGATTTACAATAACGGGCCAGGCCGATATGTGGCATAAGGAGGCAAGAAATTTCGCCCACTGGATGTGGCAATGTGCGCACATAAATCGTGCCGAAAGGATTAGATGTATACATACGAATATTTAACGGTGTACTCAAGAATGAAATATGTCCATTGTGAATAAAATGCCGTGTTATGTTACATGTGCAGCGAAATGGAAGTGATTTCTGAAACGGCACTTGGAGCATGTACACAAAATTCATTAAGTGATAATGAATTTCGCGCTCATAATTCTGTCTATAAAATCGTTGTCAGATTGTACTGGCCTGAATTGCATTTGGCGTTGGTTTCATTTTTACTTTATTGTACTGTGGTTTTCAAGAATACTGACGCCAACTTCTCTGAAGGTCTGTGGCTAATTATCGGGTTAAAAAGTATAAGATACTTTTCAGTATTCTTTTGTTGGTAGCATGATCCACCCGACCTAAGACAATATAAACTGAAACCAGATCCGTGGTCAACGTGGCCAGTGAACAGCTCCGTAGGTATGGCTGATTAAGTTGGCGTAATAATCCGACCCAGTGATTCAGAGGAGTTTGTGAAATTTTGCAAACATTTTCTCTAGCACCCAAGTTTGCTGGCTATAAAAATGACTGCCTTTTGACACCCACAGATGGCCCGCAGACCCCAGAGGAACTGATAAGTAAGTTTCTATCTGAATATCACTGAATACTGTTTTTTGCAATCTCATATCTTAGCCATTACCACTGAGAGTTCCCTTATTGACGGTAGAGCTAACAGTCATAAAATCCCTCCTCCATTGTTGCTAAAACCACCTGGGTTAAACAGTCTCAACGGATTATTCAACTAGTTTGACGCAGTGCACTAAAATTCTAAAAAGCGGATAGAAGGGATGTACAGCGGAGAGGATTCAGCTCACCAGTTACAAACTTCTCTATTAAATGGAACCCTGGTAGGTATGCTTGTTCACTGATAATCTGGAAATCTTTATCAAAATAGTCGTATTAACCTGCTCTATACCAGCAAATAGAAACTCAATATGAATTTGAGTTTAACATGATCGTATAAGTGAATTAGTAAAGCGTAATCAACCTACTCTGCTCGGGTGAAGCACCTAGAAGTAGACATGATTAAGTTAGTGGTGAGAATCGAAAGCAATATTTTTATGTATAGCATGGTCCTCAACTTTTTCACTGGGTCACGAAATTTCGAATGATAACAATGCCGGATGCTAAGACTTAAACCGTATAAAGTTGTTTTTAAAAATACATAGGATAACGCTCTTAGTTGGAGAACGCAGACATGGTGATCCTGATCCGTGTTTAGACTGAGGATGCGCTGTCATATTTGTCCTAAATGTGGGCTGTGTGGACTATGATGTATATAAAAATGTAAAACGCTAACCGTCCCTTTATTGAGAGTGTGTGCGGAAGTATGTTAGCAGGTGCATCGACTCTTGAGATATTCATCTGTGTCATGTTGGCATATTGCAACCATCGTTCAGGCTTCACACATAAGTGCTATTGACATTCATACAAGATGTTTCCAGCAAACAAATAAAAAACCGGAGATCTCCTACCCGCTAGGTTGTAGTCGTGAGCGGCAAAAGAGTTTTCGGCATCCCTACGGGTCGTTTGTGCGTTTGAATAATATCTTTTTTGGTTGCAAAAGTGACATTCATTAATCGTGCAATACTTCAACTTTCATCCACCATACGCAGATGAGCTGAAAAAAGCTTTAACCACATTGCAAGGTGCGGTTTATTGTTAACATTTTTCTTGATACCCCTGTAAGTGTTCAGAAAACCTGGAGCAGTATTTTAAACCCATAAATGATCAATTTAATGGCAGTGCTTTATCATGTGTCATATAGATTCCTCGGTTAAAGCAATGCAGAGGTTGTTTTTGGAATTTCCTTCATTATTCACAAGTATTTACTAAGATGTTTTACCCTATATTTGCAGATGACATAGAAGAAGCACTAACGAAATTGGCAGGTACGAATAATTCACGCAAATATCCTTCCACTTTTCATGAATCCACGCATTATAGAGAAGAGCCTCTGATTTTTCCGACTAATTACGTCAATATGGTAAGCTACATATAACCAGGAGCACTTAAAGGACACCCAAGCGAGCATGTAGACCCACCCTGTATCACACACCTGGCAAAATCTCAAAAATGGAATTTTCCGTATTCGCGTCGTATGGAAAAACTATCAGGTTTGATTGATTGACTTTGTGGCGTCCATTGATGAACGGCTGAATCCCAGATGGTTGCCCTAGTAAAGTTCAGTTAATGGGCAAGCAGATTTCGTACGATTTGGGTTTAAATAAAACATGTTTGACAAAAATTAAGGATTGCTGCTACCTGATGATGAGCCCCAAAAAGGACGAAACAATTCGTTGGCTGTCGAGGAGTTTCACCCACCTTGTAACTCCAATAAAATCCTGAAACAAAACAGAAGAATAAACATCAGTTCCAAGGTGTGTTGTTGCCATGACCCCATGAGAAAAACAAAGGGAAAACCGTCCATAAAAGGTGATTTGGTGTAGAAGGTATACTAGTCTTTTAGCATTATATTGCTGACAGTCAGAAACGATATAGAATGTGCTCTGTATGTGTATGTAAAACATACGCCCAGAAAGAAAGAAAATGACTCCCCGTTTAGTGCACGTTTCAATAATGCCTACAACGTTTGGATTATGGTTGTCAACATCTCAAAGCAGCCCAACCATCAAATGTCAAAGATGCTAAAGTATCTAAAAATGTCTTAAAAAGAAAACTTTTCCTTTTTTTCTGGAATCAAACAACAATAAACTCAATACGAACCCCTATTAGATTTACAGTCATCAGTTGCTTGATTTATGGGTCAGCTAAAATACGTCAAAACTGTAACGGTGGCTATTCAGCTCCTCTCGCTATTATATAATGCCTATATTGTGCACTCAGGTAAGGGGAAGTACAAGTTCTACGCGTGGTTGTAGAACTTGTTCAGGAGTGCCCATCTAAGGAGCTTCACTTTCTTTTCGCTCGGTACTAATTATCGGGTAGTCACGTATGAAGACTTCCAAAAAAATGCCAAGTCTGTTAGTACTTGGATGAGTGGAGAACGACAGTGAGAGCTCACTGAATGTGTGCAGCTTTATGATGATTTTTATCTTCCTCCAGTGTTGGGCGGACATCACCTTCTTGATCACGGAGGACATCCAATAGACCACACCTTTGCACCACGGGGATTTCACTCAGAAAATCTGGTTAACCTTCGCTCATTTTTAAATGGGAGAAAAATACGGAACCGAAAATTAAAACACGGCGTTTTGTTCCATGTAAACACAGAAGCCGCCGAGCTTAGGCAGAAAAATCTCTATGCAGCTGAATAGCTAAAATGAACTTGATCAGGAATAAAGGAATTTTTTGATGAAAATTTTTATGAATGTTCAATAGCAGAATCCGACATCCTTCAAGTGGGGCTAGATTCGACGAATACAAATACTCAAAAGCAACCTATAGGATTAAGTACTAACGCCGTCATGACAACCGTGAGATCTGGGATGGATGATGTAGTAAACTGTATGAAGAAATCCAAATCTACGCGGATCATTACTGCTAGATTTCTTTGCCAGGAAAAAACATCCATGAGTTAAAGTGCAGTATACTTAGCTAACAAAAGAGGAAAAATCCAGACAAATCCCCCGAGTCCGATTTGTTGGCAGGAGTTTGTAGACTTAACGTCTAAACTCAGCTCCTCCTGCGGAAGACGTCGATTCGACTATATAACCTAATGCTTCAACATATACTAAACAACTCCGGACAATCATCAGCTAACTGCAAAATGGCGAACCAGAAAAACACTGTGGCCCACACAGAGGGGCGTTCCAGTTGTGAGAAAGAACGTCTAAATCTGCAATACACAAGCTGAGTGCTAAGGGCTGTTTTAGAAGGTTTCATTGATTCATCGATCGGGCCTCTACTTAATGGAATAAGACGTTGGTAAAAGACGCATGATGACAGACACCTAATACAGAATCAACCCCTACGTCTTGCCTGCATTAGTAAGGCTCGTACGCTGCACATTTCTATAGCTACTGGTTTTCTGTAGCAATACGATTTTAGTTAGCCGGAGGGTCGTCAAAAAGTGTTTTTCTGACAAATCACAGAAAAATGTTGTCAGCCAAACTGATCGCTCTATAGGCTGTTAGTGGACTTAGGTTTTCGACTCAGACAATAGAAGTGTATTGAAGACTGCCTTGCAAACGCTTGGCTTTCCTTAAACATTTTTCATTCCCATCAACGTCTTTAATCCTCGCCTAAATTTCGATTGGAGTTGCGCAAGGCTCTCTTGAGCTAGCCATAAATAGTACAGCGGTTAATGAGGAATGTACTATTGATCCATCCAGCGGAACAACCATTTACGTTCAGGCATCCCACCGCCTCGGAATCAGAATATCGGTCCAACCATTTAAGGACTTTTATTCAGTCAAACTGGATTAAATTTTGGATAAAAATTCGCTGCACGCTTCCATTGTCCGTGTGCCACCATTTGCACTTCAAAGTAATATTACGGCGGCTGACACCGGTCAACCAAACACCTCTGGAATTCAGCCTATTTCAAAGGCTCCAATCAACCTGTTGCAGTCAAGATCATACGAACCCGCGCCAAATGTCAAAGTAGGAACTTTTGTAGAATCGGTCTTGTGGTCACTGGTGTAATCGTCTGGTTTACTCGGTAAACATAACTTCCCTGAACCAAGATACTTTCTTCTGGTTCCTAACCCGCACCTTCCGGTGACTGACATACCAGGAATGTCCACATAATTAAACGCATGGTTGAAAAGGGTTCGATTAATAGTTAGTTATAGCTTTTCGAGGAGCGTTTTGGAACACGTCCTTGTAACTCAGGTAGAAGGGAAGTGACGAATGTACTCAATACCCAACTATGGGTATTTTACATTTTTCGGTGTTGAGTGTTACTCCGCAGGGTTTTAAGTTAATGGCTTGCGATGGCCCAATTCGGGTTGTCGTCGCACAGACTCTAAACGTATGCATGCAGGCATACCGAAAATCAGAAGTACTTTCTTCCCGCATATCGAGTAGAAAATTCCAAGGCGATATTCACTTTACTGAGATCTCACGTAAGAAACCGCGTAGGAAATCGCGTACCTTATGGATTTTTTAAAGATAACTAAAGAATAGTGATTTTTGCTCTGTCCTATTAATGGACTCCTGTCAGTGCCAGTTAAATGTTTTGTTACGCCGGAAATATTTGGAGATGTTTAATCGGGTAGTCCACACCCGACGTGAAAACATAAAGCAACGTTCATTCAGGGTAAATTATGAAAGAGCTTCAGTAATTCTTTTGATTCCGAGTGTAGAACAGGGCTCCTCATTATGCGAAATCGATAGTATGATAGATGTTCACAGAGTGACGGTAAGCATAAAATTACTGTTAGTCAAAACATACGTGATCAAAAACCATTTATATTGTACGCTTGCATTTTTGTTGCTTGTTCGTTTTGGTTTATTGGGTGCGTCCACTAAGTTTGGAGACCATGTTATTTGTATATGCGCTTAAAGAACATTTATCTAACATCTTCAGAGGCGATACAAGAAAAACTATCGGAATTGAAAGGTATGACGTCATTTTAGACTCTCGTTTTGCAAATCCGTGTGTCATATTACTGTTCCTTATCTTGCCCTCTGTTATTAGCACAACTCTTGTACATGATAGGTTGCTTTTATCCCGTAATTTGGGGATATTTGTCTTCTTTCCGTTGTTGGGACGTATGTGGGTAGAACATTCCCATAGGGAACCACTTCGATAGCCAAGCAGGTTTACTCTTCCTGGTAGATGTATCTTCCATTTACCAGGTTCAGTGTGGACAAAATCAGCCAGTATGGTGCGGAAGCGCTGGTAGGATCTAATACGGACCACCTGCAGAACCTAACAGGGACAAGCAAATACCTGACCGCCAACTGAGGACTCATGCTGCAAATTAAAATTCACCTAGTGAGTGACATTCGTAATCGGTAGTGTGAACTGAATAGATTATTCGCAATAACAATGAATTTAGTACAATCGGGTATCAAATGGCACTGTTTGCAAATAGTTGCTCTAGTTAGTTCTCATCAGGCGCGTGGAAATACGAATGTTTTAGGTGCAGGGCTCTCAGGCTATCCAGATGCATCAACTCACCCGCGAGAGTAATTAAACTATTTGCTCATGCTTTTATTGCTTTGAACAAATTACATAGAATTATGTCTTCGAATTAATGTTTTGCGTCTTGTTTGCAGTGCCGATGTATGGCATGTTATTTAAAGATCCTTGACTGAACAGTCCTCGTGGGAGTTTTATGCGCTTTGGCTTTTGTTTCTCGACGCCTGTTGCCCTTCCAGCTTCTTGGTTGCGTTTCAGGCCAAGGTAAACTAGGTAATAATAAGCGGTTTAGTACGGTAATGAGACATCAGTAGTAGGCTATCAACAATGTTAATCAGAGTAGCTCAGCAGAAAGACTGATATTTTCTGCAACATTTTCCTGTTGTAACCACTTAAAACTATAGTGGAAAACACGTCAACTTGGGGTACCAAATGGAGCACTAACAAACGGAGGTTTGCAGCGTAAATTTAGCTTATGTTAAGGTGAATGTCTGAGATGTAGTTCCATTTTTCTCGGTTAATTTACTTGGCGTACATGTCTATGTTGCTCAGTTTATTATCAGTGCCGCCATACATTTTTTGCCTGGTAGGGTATCAGAACTTCTTTGTGGATTTCGTCCTGTAAGTGAAGACAATCTATGCGGAAAAGCCGAGAAGCACTGTGCAGCTGTTTCATCCTTATTGGGAATCATCAGCAGTGCACA